TTGCTGTGAACATGCTGGCAATGGGCCAGGGCGCTGGGTGTTATCCATAATTCTTAGAAATCCTCAACTGAACTCCAGTGTGCCGATAATTCAGACTGGCAGAAACCAAAAGCAAACAAAGTCAATTAGCAACCAATTCCTCTTGAATATATTTTCTCCACTCTCTCTTACCCCTTTTAATTTCACCTCAACACAACTAAATTAACTGGACTACATCTCATTATTATTAAATATGCAATAAAAGATTCCATATAATAGCACAAGCATTGTGAAGGAAGTTAGAAAATCCTCCCTCCTCCCTCCCACTTCACCAGAGGGGATTTTTGTCTTTTGGCAGTTGACTGAAAGAAAATAATTGATTTTTTTCCTTTCTTCAAAATGAAAAATAATAATTGCATTTCTGTCTGAAATATATCCAGCATATGTCTATACCGAGAAAATGTAAACAGAACCGGTTGAGAAAAAAAAGAGCATTTGTGAGTCAACAATGATTTCACCAGCAGCTGACAGCCCAGAGACAAATTGGTTTTGCCAATGCTGTTTGCAGATGGCAGCGATAATACTATCACTCAGCATCACAGTCACTGGCAAGCTGTAGGGCATATAATAAGAAAAAAAGAAACAGACAAAAAAACAGATTGCATAAATTTTTTAGGTGAGGTATGGTTCCTTTATATTATGGTTTACAGACTTGAGTGTCCAAGGTAGATACAGAAAGTAAGACCATAAAAAATTATGTTATAATAAAACACTGAGTAATAGAATAGAATAGAATAGAATAGAATAGAATGGAACTCTCCCCTCAGTGGTAAAAATTTATAGTGTTTTAGCAAAAATTATTATTTGTCTAAGAATTTCTATACAGATTATAAAACATTGAGTTGCGACAAATTTATGAATTCAAAATGATCAGTTACGAAAACATGGGACATTTTGATCATAAACTGTGGCCCACTATTAAGTGTAGTGAGATAAACTTTCCTTTTAAAATTGACTGTGCACAAAAATAGCAATTTTGTATCAAAAATAATTGATCGTAATAAACTAAATTTCCTTTTATTAAAAAAATCAAAAAGGTAAAATTCTACAACCTAAAATCATCATTATTTGAAATTTTATTTGTATTGTAATTTTGTGAAGCACTTTGTGACCTCTATGTCTGTATAACAGGCTATATAAATAAAAATTACTTACTTAATATCTTAGGAAGATTATTAAGCAAGAAAGCAATCGGATCAGCTGACAAATTAATCCAATTTGTGTTCATATTAAGCTACGTTTCTGATAGTGGAGACTGCTCAGGCAGATCATGATATTTTTTCTGGATCCAGGAGATCCTTAGCAGCACAACAAAGTGTTAATTGGTGTTTGTCAGCTTTGCAAAGAAAAAATCTATTCTTATAGAATGTTTGGTTAACTTTTTTGTAATTCCTTTGTAGAGAATCATTTATGTTTTGTGTTCAATGATACAAAAAGGGGGAAAAAACAATTTAATTAATCAAAATAAATTATTTCTGGGAATAAGTTCTACAATAAGCCTGTAGCTGGTGGCCAAAACATCTTTTTTTTTTTTTTACTATTTTTCCTCTTCCTCTGACACTTGTCGCTCTACCCTGGTGAGCCCGATCCTGTGAATAAAAAAGCCTGACTGTGCTGTGGTGTTACAGTGTGTAAAGGTTTCAGTCTGACAAGAGAACAGCAGTTGCACAATGCACGCTGCCTGTCTGAACAGAATGTAGCATGGGGGCAAGGGTAGAAACAGGCAGACTCTGGGGATCTGACCTCCTCATTCAGCCAATCTCCTGCAGGAGTAGCTAGGATTATTCTGCTGAGTAAGCACATCTCGCAGGACAAGAAAATGCTCTGGGAAGTACTCCAGCTTATTTTGAGGGGTTTCTTTTTTAGAATTTCTTTCATTCTAACTGACATGTGCTTTGCATTTCATGTTTTTGTGCATATACATATATATATTTGAGAACAACTATACAAAACCGCACTATCCTTCTAGTAAGAGATTTCAGACCAGTAAATGCAAACCTTTGCAAAGAGAGTGGTCCATACAAAAATACACATATACATAAGCCACTTCTTTTGAATGTATAACTAAATGATACTGAATACTTTTCTTCAGCAACAAGTAGTCATCCTGAACATGTGTGTCTCTGTCCATGGTTCTGAAATACCAGCTTAAAAGCTTTAGCTGATGGGATTTTTTTTAGAACCATGGACAGAGTCTAACCCAGGTTTGAGCTGAAAACCTGTCATGATAACTGCAACAATTAGAGGGAAAAATATTTCAAGCATGAGCTTTTACCTTGAAGCAAAAGATCTCAGTGGCATGAATAATGTCTTACCTCGCTTGATCATGTCTATGTCACAACTGATGCCTGATGCCCTGTGGATTATTTTTCTTCAAGCTAAGCAGAGGCGACAAGTTCAGTACAGCAGGTAGAGATAAAAATATTAAAAATTTTAAATCAAGTTTGGCCTAATGAATCCTTGATAAATCAATATACAAAGGTTTTGGGAGGATTTTAAACGTAAGTTATTGTGTTCTGTGCAGTATCCTGTAAAGAGGATCAAGTCTAATATAAATAAATGGGATACATACAATACATTTCTACAAACTTAAAGGAGAATAAACGTCCTGCTGCTTATGTTGAAGAAAGTTTCTATGTTGGAGCAGAATTTTGATGTGCATCCAGTGCTAATGCTGATGTCAAACTTAACCAACAAGCTGAACCTCTCCATCCTGAGGCAGTCATGGTCAATGAATGGCAGATCTAGCAGTGGTTGTCAGAGGAAAGGCTTACATGCTACCTTTTTAGAATAAATTTAATATCTGTTCATAATTCAGTAAAGTCTTATTAATAAAATTAATTAGTTATTTGTTTATTTTCTTATACAAAGTAGAAGTGAAGTCAAACAGTGGGATAGAAACAATGAAGGTGCTTGGTAGTCATGATAACTCTACAAACAGCAGAGCTGTAAAATAAGATAAGAGAATCCTCTACTTCCACAAAACCTGTTTGCATGCATTGATGACTACAACTGGAAAACTAAAATTAATATTCAGTAAAGCACCAAATAACAAAACTGTAAGAAATTGACCCCAATGTTTTTGTTTCATTCTGTTTCATTTCAGTAATTTTTAACCAGTATATCTTGGCAGAAAACATGACACTAAAAGCCAAGCAAGTAAATTAGTTTTTTTTTTTTTTTTTTAAGATTTACTTAAGCAGAAAGGTACTTAAGTGCTCTATTAATTCATATTTTTAATTCTTAATTTGGTACATCTCCTGAATGATAAAAAAGAAATATACACATGAGTTATTTGTGAAAAAGGCAAAGAAAAGTGGCCAGCTTAACTTTAGCATTAGCACTCAAATAATACATAAACTTTCTATACTGTACTCTTTGAACGCAGAAACTCCATCGAGCAAAGATGTTAAAAAAGTCCTTAAGTTGTAAAGGTTGTCATACTCATCTGTGATAGATCCCCCCCAAAAAAATATGCCAGCCTCCCTGTTCTCTTCTCTTCTCCATACAAGACAAATTAGAATAGCAACTAACTGAACATCTGCACTTACATTTTAATCAAAATGTTTAGGAACCATGAAATAGGAAATGTCATTAGAGTAACATTCACTGAACAATATTAACAAATATGCATGGTGAACATTTAAATAATTTGAATGTCTTGCATTTACACCTCTGAGCACATAGTGTATTCAGTTGAGCAAAGCTTCTGGATTTTAAATCTATACTAAGTATACAAATATTATGAATTGCGAAATATTAAATAATAAGTCTTTATGGACAATACAACTGTTGTGTTTTTATGTGGTTAGTATTAAATAAATTAGCAAAAATTGAGCGTAGTGTCCAAAGATGAAGTTATCATTAAAAAGATAGCTAAAATGTTACTTGTTTGTAAAAATCTTACAGGTTGTTGCATGAACATTAGTATTGGATCCAATGCTCTGAGTCGCACACTTCACTTTAAAGTGCAAAACACCTGATTTGGATCTTATAGTCCACTTAATCTGCAATGAACTCACTGTTTGAAAATGATCCGAATTGAATACCAGAATAAATACCAGACATCTGTTAGATAAAGAGTGATACTGGAAGTCACTTCTGGGGATGAGAATGGAAGACAAGCACTTCCCGTTGCCATAGCGGCGACTATAGTGGACGCGGCCTGACTCTTAAGCAGGACCCCCATTGGCAAAGGGGGGATTGGTGGTATTCGTTAAAGGATGCCTTCTCCTCACCTCATGACATCCCCTTTGTCTGTCACTCCGAGATGTTTTCTGTAAATACAGCAGCAGGATGGAAAGGGGAAAAAATCGCTCTCAATCTCCATCCTGGGAGATGAGAATTTAATCAGGCACCAGGAGAAGCCTGCTGAATTGGGTTACTTCAGCACATGCATTAGGTGAAGTTGCAAACAATTACATACAAAAGTGGCGACTGCAATCAATATTAAATACTAGCTGTCAGTTTCAATAGCTTTCAAGTAAAGTGAAGTTAATTTATCTTGTTTAAATTACTGTGCTAGTGCATGCTGAAGTGAGGAATTCTTTTAAATGGAATTAAACCTGAAAAGCACTACGTGGCGTGCAGATTGTATCTCCTCAGAGCTCAGAGTTGATTTTGAAATGTGAAACCTTCGGGGGTTTGAATGGAAATGCAGGGCTGGATACCTTTAATAAGCCCTAAAGTGATGCTTCTTGAGTTTCCTTTGCGGTCGATAGCCAGGAACTGTTGCATACTCATTCAGATTGACTGTTAGAGTGAGTGTTACAGTGATTCAAGTTTCATGGAAAACCCAAACATATCCTTCATAATAAATCATCAAAAATAGGTATGATTTAACTGAGTCAAGTTGCAATTTATTAAAATGTAATTTTACAAAGCGCTTGCTGAAATCGACACGCAAACGAGCAATCTACAGACATCTGATCATGCCTATCAGATGTTTGTTTTTTCCTCACCGAATCTTAGAACGTGCGGCATCCCGCGAGTGTATCCAAGAAACAACAGCAGAAGCGGGATCACCCTGAGGTTGAACCTGATAGCGAGACCGGTTATCATCAGATGATGGGAGGTAATCTTCATGATGTTTTCAGAGCAAATGCACAGTGGATAATTCCTCCCCGGTGCGCGGCGGGCTTGATTCCCGCGTGATTCTTCAGCGGCTGTTGGGCAAAAGCAGGGGTAGCGGCGGCCCTGGATGTGCAAGATCACGGCATGGTCACTCGCGCTTTCCCCAAATCCATTCGCGATCCCGGCATGATTCCTCCCCACTTTCGTCCGTCTCCCTCTTCACTGCGCCAAGAGACAGCAATCCTCGGGGTCTGGTGATGATGGGACGTCCATGTCGAAAGGTACGGATCCGGCGTAGAGGAGGGGGAGCCCTATAGTACGGGCTTAAAGGTGAGGCTGCTGGAGAGCGCAAAGCAGAGGCTATAGCAGCGATATACAGCCCGCTATGAGGCTCTCTGTGTTGCTTGCTCTCCCATTATACTGCACTGCTGCACAGGCTCTGACGTCGAGCCAAGATTGGTGCTGTGAACGCGCACCACAAAGACAGAAAGCGTGAGTGGGCAAGAGCGTAGAGGAGAGAGAAAGAGAGGTAGACTATCCACAGAGAAAATAAAATGCAAAAGTGGGAAAAGAAAGAGGGTAGAGTGTGTGTGAAGAGTGTGGATTGAGTGGAAAGCCTAATTAATCCCACCTTCCTCTTTCTTCATACAACTTGGCGCCAAGTACTTGAAGAAATGTTGGAGGTTGGATATGCAAAGTTTGCACATGGTCCTTTGCATATCCTGCCAGAAATTGCCATTTGAGTTTTTACATAGAAGAAAATCTTTCCTTCTGTTGAAGGGGAGTATTTGGCTGTTGAACCAAACCTCTGCTTACCACAAGTTTTTAACAACCAGTAAAACCCTTTTTAATTATTTTAATGTTGAAACCATAAACTTTGATACATTGACATTTAACGTATCACTCAATGATACATCAAAAGTGGCTCTTATAAGTAAAAAAAGATCCATCAATTTTATACCCACTCATCTATAACATTTTAGTATAGTGTAGTGCATCTCCAAACTCAGTTCAGAGAAAAAAAAACTTTCCATTTTATTTACAAATGGGCAGTTTTGGCATGCAAATGTACAGTGGGTACGGAAAGTGTTCCGAACCCTTTACATTTTTCACTCTTTGTTTCATTGCGGCCATTTGCTCAAATCAATACAGTTCATTTTATTTTTCATTAATGTACACCCAGCACCCCATCTTGAAAAAAATTTAGATTTTTTTTGCAAATATATTTAAAAAGAAAGACTGAAATATTATATGATCAAAAGTATTCAGACCCATTGCTCAGTATTGAGTAGAAGCACCCTTTTGAGCTAGTAAAGCCCTAAGTTTTCTTGGAAATGACGCATCAAGTTTGTCACACCAGGATATGTGGATCCTCTGCCATTCTTCCTTGCAGATCCTCTCCAGTCTGTCAGGTTGGATGGTGAGTGTTGGTGGACAGGTGTGTATGAGGTGCCCCCAGGGACATAAATCAGAATTAACTTGCATATACACATATTAAATTACACTCTTCCATATAATATACTGAAAACCTCACACAAACACTAGTAAGAAGCTCTCACATAAACTAGTGAAAACATTTACCTCTTATATAATCTACTCAAAAGCTCTCATACAAAGTAGTGAGAACTGTTCATATAAACTGGTGAAAAGCTTTACCTTTCATACACACTACTAGAAAGCTTTCATATACACTATTAAAAAGCTCTCATATACACTACTAGAACGCTCTCATATACACTACTAGAACGCTCTCATATACACTATTAGAAAGCTCTCATATACACTATTAGAAAGCTCTCATATACACTACTAGAAAGCTCTCATATACACTATTAGAACGCTCTCATATACACTATTAGAACGCTCTCATATACACTATTAGAACGCTCTCATATACACTACTAGAATGCTCTCATATACACTATTAGAACGCTCTCATATACACTATTAGAAAGCTCTCATATACACTATTAGAACGCTCTGATATACACTATTAGAACGCTCTCATATACACTATTAGAACGCTCTCATATACACTACTAGAAAGCTCTCATATACACTATTAGAAAGCTCTCATATACACTATTAGAACGCTCTCATATACACTATTAGAACGCTCTCATATACACTACTAGAAAGCTCTCATATACACTATTAGAAAGCTCTCATATACACTACTAGAAAGCTCTCATATACACTATTAGAACGCTCTCATATACACTACTAGAAGGCTCTCATATACACTACTAGAACGCTCTCATACACGCTACTAGAAAGCTCTCAAACACACTACTGGAAAGCTTTCATACACACTATTAGAAAGCTAAAATATATGGACCCCCTCCTTTAATTTAGGCAAACATTGCTCAAATATCACCGAATCCAGATGGTTTGTTGTTGATGAAGAGAGGAATAAACACAGTTTAAGATTTGCAGCTAAATTAATTTGTTTCCATATTATGGAACTGCTATCAGGCACTTCCCATCATCTTATATCAGTAATAAAAAATTATAAATACAAATTTGGTATTTGGTGACTTGACTTTTATTTCTGTCAGGCTTAAGTGAAAAAACTTGGAAAGAGACTGATTCTCTTGGCGTTTAAGATAACAACACAAAACAGCATAAGAAAACCACATTTATTTTTTTTATTTTACAATTTTGTAAACAACAGCGGCTGATTAAACTAAATGTCTCAACCTTGTATAATTTTACGACTTTTTATGTAACCAAGAAATTATCCGAAAGGCCTGGGAAATGATCAGATCCGCTTATGTGGCTGCAATGCGCGGCGCGCTCCCGACACAGGTGGAACAGATTTTCACATGGGAACAGAATTTCGCACAACACCTTTTATTGTTAACAATGACAACAATAAAAAAAGAAATGTAAAGAAAGAGTACATTGGAATGAAAAATTTAATGTATTTTAAGTGAGGTCAGCAGTGGAGACAGAAAATTTTAATAGGGGTGACCGGGCAGGAATAAGTGTTTACTGAGGGGTAGCTGAAAACTGACAAGCTGCATAATCATTTCAGTGTAAAAATGGCACAATACCTGTATTTTCAGTATAAAAACTATAAACAGATTATATTATTATGAAGCTCTTGCTAATAAATCTGCACACATAAATATATATTCTTGTGTGATGTATAACATGGATGCATCATACATAGTATAAAAAGTGTAAAACCTTTACGGTTATGCATAATATACATTATAAATGCATATACTGTTGTTTTTAGTATAGACATGCACATAACTTTCCCTTCTCTCCAATAATACACAAAAAACTGTTAAAATATATTTTGAATTCTTGATTTATCATCTTAAATCTTAGTATATTAATGCAAATAATAAATTACTGTATTTTTGTTGTCAGTATATGGTTAATATGATGGGTGGTCAATATGACAGTGGATAGGCTGATGAATAGTTTGTTTAAATTTTTTGTTGCTTTTGCTCATTTTCTGTGTATTGATGAACAAGGTGTGCTTTTAATGGTTGTAAATATCTGAGTTGAATAAGTATTACTTCATTAAAAAGGGGGGCAGATATTATAAATTTTTATTATTTCTTTCTACTCCTTTTATTTCATTCATGATTTCAGAATGAATAAAATTGAAAAAATATGTAAAATATACTAGCACTTAACCATGGAATTATTCAGGACCTTCCTTTTGAGAGTATCACAGCTACCACTCTGGTTTAGAGGTGGACTTCTTGTCTGGAGGTGGTGAATGGAAACTACATATCACCTAGTAGGGGTGGCCACAGAGGTGGCAAATGATAGGTCATGGCCATGGCTGGTCATTCTAAAGCTCTCACTCTGAGTGAGAATTGGTAGCCCCAGTGGTCTCACTGTAAATTAAAAGAACTTATGTATTGACTGGGCATGACACTGCCATCTAAGATGGCAGGTATTATTGCACTTGTGCTGGGTGCAAATTTCCATAACTTTGGGTAATTTCGCAGAATGTTGTTCTAAAAGTGACCTCACACAGAGAATAAATCAAATCACTTCTAGGTTAATTTAAGCTGGTAGGAGCCAGATGCGAGGGAACCCAGATTGGTGAATACCTGCAGAGATGGCAGGGTTCCATGTGCATCAGTCTCTTCAATACTGGATCAGTATTGGAGAGACTTGGACGCTATTTTATTGCTATTTATTTATCTATTTTCACAAATCAAAATAGAAACTCAGAATACATCCATAAAAGAAGAAATGTGATGGAGTCTGACAGAAACCACATAGGGCTTATACCAAAGGCCACACCCCTAAAACAGCAAAACATCAGGCAGCTCACATTATAAAAGACATTTCACTCGAGAGAGAAATTTAGAAAAGACACGTACAGTAACATTATTTTTACATTTTAGCTTTCAGATTTCAGGGAGTCTATATTTGTAAAATCTTACATCCATATTCATTCCATAGTTTTGCACCACAATGCCAAAAAGAAAATTGCACTTGATTTTTAATACTTAATGGTAAATGAATAGACAAAGCTTTTCTAGTATTATAAGAATGGACTTGGCAGTTCTTAACAAAATAATTCTTGAAACTTTCAGGAGACTGATATTCCATCCATCCATCCATCCATCCATCCATCCATCCATCCATCCATCCATCCATCCATCCATCCATCCATCCATCCAACCATCCATCCATCCATCCATCCATCCATCCATCCATCCATCCATCCATGCATCTTGCTCCGCTTATCCGGGGTCGGGTCGCGGGGGCAGCAGCTTAAGAAGGGAGGCCCAGACTTCCCTCTCCCCAGCCACTTCTTCCAGCTCTTCAGGAGGAACCCCAAGGCGTTCCCAGGCCAGCCGAGAAACATAGTCTCTCCAGCGTGTCCTGGGTCTTTCCTGGGGCCTCCCCCCGGTGGGACGTGCCCGGAACACCTCACCAGGGAGGCGTCCAGGAGGCATCTTAAACAGATGCCCAAGCCACCTCAACTGGCTCCTCTCGACATAGAGGAGCAGCGGCTCTACTCCGAGTCCCTCCCGGATGACCGAGCTTCTCACCCTATCTCTAAGGGAGAGCCCAGCCAGCCTACGGAGGAAACCCATTTCGGCCGCTTGTATCCGCGATCTCGTTCTTTCGGTCATGACCCAGAGTTCATGACCATAGATGAGGGTAGGAACGTAGATCGACCGGTAAATCGAGAGCTTCGCTTTTTGACTCAGCTCTCTCTTCACCACGATGGACCGGTACAGCGCCCGCTTCACGGCAGACGCTGCACACAGAGACTGATATTGTTTTATTATAACAACAAGGGTGGTTTGATGGGGTTATAAATATTAATTTCATAAATATTTAACAGCTGTAATTTGGAGAAAAGGGGAGTACTAGCTGTATCAACTTTACTTGACTTTTTTGCACGCTGTACCAATTTTTTCTCTCGAAAGGAGTGTATCGTCAAGTTGAACACCCAAAAAACGAACAATGGTAACTTT